GTGGTGAGTGTCGATCCTTTTCTCGCGGGTCTTTTCCAAGATTTGGCGTATTGTGAATACCTGGTCTATGGTGGATTTGCCAGGTCTAAAGCCACACTGATAAGGCCCAATCAGTTCATTGACGGTGGGCTTCAGTCTTTCACACAATACGCTCGATAAGACCTTGTAACCTATGCTTAGAAGGCTGATCCAGCGGTAGTTGGCGCGAATGGCGGGGTCACCTTTCTTGTGGATTGGGCAGAGCACACTTAAATTCCAGTAGTCGGGCATGCGTTCATCTGACCATATTCTGCACAAGAGTAGATGCATGCACTTTATCAACTCCTCGCCGCCGAACTTGAATAGCTCAGCTGGCAGGCTGTCAGCTCCAGCGGCTTTGTTGTTTTTCAGCCGCGTTATTGCTATACGTACCTCGTCATAGTCAGGCGGTGGAACGTCGACTCCGTCATCATCGACTGCGGGCTCGTGTTCTTCTTCTCCACAACTTTCCGTGCTGCTACCATATAGTAGCATGATTGATAAAAAGCTGCAGTTACAAACCCATCTTGTTGAATTCTATTCGCGTAAGTTAAGTATTTCTTTTTTTCTTTTCTAATTATTTGTACAAATTTTGATTTTTTACCACCTGAATAATAACATCGTTTCTTGGTGCTGAATCCAAATCTGGCCGCACAATTTCTTAGCACTAGAATTTTGAGATATCCTAACCTCAAAGTGCCAAAAACACGGCCTGACGGGTTTGAAGAATTTTTTTGTTCTAATTTTATTACTAAGGCGTCTAATAAATGCATGGCTTTTAGTTCTAGAAGAATAAAATTCAGTAAAGACAAGTCTTTTTTGTATAATTTCTGATTTTAATTGCTCAACTTCTTTTGCACCAGAGCAACTTTCAAAAATTTCCAGCAGTAAAAAGTTACGAATTGGCACAGCAATGTAAAATTTTCTCGCCATAATAAAAAAGTTTTTTCAACATGGATCTTTTCTACTAATTGACATGAAATTACTATCTCAACGCTCGGAGCGCTGCCACTGAGGGCTTTTGCCAACTGATAAAAAAGAGAAAATTTGGAAATACCAAACAAAAATTTTGAGATGTCTCCTTGTGAATACGAATGCCATAGTTTTTACCTGGCTCGTGGGACTACGCAAAATTTCGACAGCTTGTAAATATGTATACACATAAAGTTGTTGGCGGTAATAAAGAGTCAAAATCAAAATGGAGAAAAGAACAAAAATCGTACGTTAGTTGTCAGTTATAAAATAAATCCAATTTATTTGCGAATATTTGTTTGTTCTATTTATTGAAAGGCAACTACGCGAAAAGGCTTGTGATAATTATATTGATAACAGAACTTGCCAGCTCGCACGTTGTCTAAATTCTCAAGCAACATAAAATCCACAAAAGAATACATTGCTTGTCCATCAATACGCCATGTATAAATTTTAACAACACACAAAAATAGAGCTTTCGCACGAGCGTTTGTTTGGTTTTTCAACACCATTTATAATTTTCTTTTAATAAAATCACGTATTGTTAAATGCTTAAATTTATTTATCTAATAATTATGCAGCACACAACCCTGAAATCGAAGAAAAAGTCTGAGGAAGGCCATTAAATAGCAGCACACAACCCCGTGCCTTCCTCAGGAGTGAATATAACTACAACAACAACCCAAAAAGGTTGGTTACTGTCTATACTGTGGTTTGAGTCATCATAGCATGTGTAGAGCATGATGCAATAATACAAGGTGGTATCAGTTGTGACAGATCGATTTGACACTGCCTTATCTCAGTAGAATGAGAAGAAAAACGGGAAGAAGTGAATCCCCATATGGGGGAAAAATATAAAATTTCACATTTTCTCCTAAACAAAATTTGCTTTTTTATAGTACATTCGTTATGAAATGAAATAAAATAAGATAAAATACCTTTTTAAGAAAGCAAAGTGTATATACTGAGAAAAAATAAAATACATTCAACTATATTAATGGGCAAAAAATAGTTAAAGAAATAACACTGTTTCACGCAAGGCAGTCAATATGGCGGAATTAGAGCGCGAAGTTGCCAACTGATAACACCTTGTATGATGCAATACATGTGTGTAGAGCCTATTCAATCGTTATGGGCGAAACATTTTTCTGTATTGATTTATGTATGTATTCTTGTAAATATTGTTAATTTTTTGCTTATGTTAAATACAAACTCTAATGAAAAAAGCTTCTTTTGATTAAAAAAAATTTGTTGCTTTTAGTGTGATAAAACGCTTGTTTTCCAAGTTTTTGATGCTTTTTGAAAATTAAAACTTGGCAACACTGCCCACCAAATCCACCCAAAAAACAATCAGCTGTTTAGCATAAAATGTAAACAAACAAGCAAATGCAACAACAATTTCAAAGAACAAGCAGCAGTGCAACCAATTGTTTGCCATGTTTAAACAGAGTTGATCTGAAACCTAACGAAAGTTTATTGGCATTTAAACTGCAATCCACAATTAAACTTAAGTGCCATTTAAATATGCATTTGGAATTGGCCCTAAAAGTGGTAATTTTTCGATAGTGTTAAAAAATATCGATAATAGACTGAAATCTAAACCATCGGGAGTGTGACACCCACCTCTAGTTCAACGGCTGCCAGATGAAAATGGAACGAAGCTAGTGAGTCAGCTGTTGATTCAATGGCAAAGCGGCTTTCGGAGTTGTAAGTTTATGTTTTCGTGATTTAATTTCGTTAGAAATTTGTGTGGCAATTGAATTTTTAACGTGGTAAGATGAGTGATAGCGACAGCGACGACTGGTCTGAAGAATGGATCCCTTACAGTCAGCGTAATGAATGGGCAGATGTGACTCCCATTCTACAAGATGACGGCGAGCACCCAGTTGTTGCCATAGCTTACAGCCCCAAATGTAAGCTTTGCAAATCTTAAATATGCTTTGTAAATTATATAAAGTTTTGTTTTTATATTCCAGTTCGCGAAGTCTTTGATTACTTTCGCGCCATACTCGCCCATAAAGAAAAATCGCATCGGGCTCTAGAGCTGACAGCAGACGCTCTTCGATTAAATCCAGCAAATTATACAGTTTGGCAATACCGGCGGGATATATTGCGGGCGTTGGATTGTGATTTGTACGAGGAGTTAGACTACCTAGATGAAGTTATACGTGACAACGCGAAGAACTATCAAGTGTGGCACCATCGTCGTGTTATTGTGGAAATGTTAAATGATTCATCCAAAGAACTAGAGTTGACTGAGGTAGCCTTGCAGCGCGACAACAAAAATTACCACGCTTGGCAACATAGACAATGGGCTATAAAGACTTTCGAGTAAGTAAAATTTCAATTCTGTATTTAAAAGTTGGAACTTAATTGCATTTAATTCTGTAGTTTATTCGACAACGAGCTTTCATTTGTAGATCGTCTTATTGCAGAAGATATTCGAAATAATTCCGCGTGGAATCAGCGCTTTTTTGTACTTAAGCATTTTGGATTAACGCCAGAAGTAGTGCAACGTGAAATTCAATACACAATGAATCGCATTCGCGTTGTAAAAAACAACGAAAGTGCCTGGAATTATTTGGGAGGTATTTTAAGGCAAAGTGAAGATGGAATATTGAATCAATACCCTGAGGTTTTAGCATTTTGTGAAGAATTATACACGAGTGGAGTGCGTTCGCCTTATCTCTTAGCTTTCCTGGTTGATTTGTATAGAGAGCAGAGTTTGCAACAAATTGATTCAACTGAATCGGAAGCGCTGTCAAGGAAAGTGTACAGCCTTTGCAGCGACATGTCTAAAAAGCATGACATTGTACGTCGCAAATATTGGCAGTACATTGCGGACCAATTAAAGTCAAAATTATCTGAAAAGTAAACAACCGCATTGCGCTATTATGAGTTTAGTTTTAAGCTGGTAATTTTGTTCAAATTTATAATAACATATATTTGTGAAAATACATGAATATTTTAATCCGTTAATTCTTTAGGAATGTGAAAATACCAACATACTTAGCACCCGAAAAAGAATTTTAGTAGTATGTATTATCTTTATGATTGTTATCCACGTTTGCATACATCTATGTTTTTACATACGTATGTACATACATTCGTCGGCCGCTGTGGTGTAGTGGTAAGCAGTGCGCACTTTCACTCATCAGCACCTGGGTTCAAGCCCCGGTCAAAGCAACATCGCAAAAAATATAGAAAAAGGTTTTTTCTTAACAGCGGTCGTCCTTCGGCAGGCAATGGCAAACCTCAGAGTGTATTTCTGCCATAAAAATACAATCGCCGTTCGGAGTCGGCGAAAAACTGTAGGTCCCTCACCTTTGTGTGATAACATCAAAGCGCACACCACAAATCGGAGGAGAAGCTCGGCCAAACACTAACATATGTGTAAGCGCCAATCTATTATTATTATTATGTACATTTGTATATGATTTCATACCGGTATAGCGTTAATCACAGTATATACAGTAATAAACCTTTTCGCAGTTTTTCACCATTTGGTCCCCGAGGAGTACTTTTGGGTGTGTGCAGCGTTTTCGTTCTGCGTGCACGACAACACTTACTGTGGGGAATTTCGCCTAATGAAAAGTGAATGAAAAGTTCTTTTCGAGGATGAAATATACATAATTATGTGTTATTTATGAACAACATGTAGGTTAAGTATAATATTCATCTTTAATGTATGCTGATATTCATGCTTAATGAAGAATAATATCAGTAGTTAAGTACATAATTAACCCTTGTGTTTTATAAACTGGAAAACTCAAATCGCAATTAAAGCACTGAATTTTTATGGAAAAAGTAAATTTTAACAGTTCATTATCAAGTACGGTGTAATATAAAGAGTTATACACTGATCTATGATAATCTGTACTAGTATCTATAATAATAGACAATGATTTGCAATGTTTTTAAGCTTTTGCACACAATTTCGGTCATTTTACACAGTCATGACTTGTGCCACTCTGCCATAGTACGGTTGTTCCCTTTCATACCACAGTAATTTTGTATACAATTCTGAATGAACAAAAGGCATGCTCCTTCTTATTAGGAGCGTTCCTTATCTCCCAGAAATAGTCAGAAAAAGTCCGAAGTAGTCAGATTTAGTCCAAAAAGCGTTCCTTAACTCGGAAATGACAGCAAAAATGAGAGAGCAACAGTCAGTGAGAGTGACTCTCATCAGTCCGAAGTAGTCAGATTTAGTCAGAAGAATTTTTTCTGGCAAAATCCTGAAAAGTGTCAAACTCAACTGAATTTAAATTAACGGAAATTAAAGAATACGCTAAAAGTGAGAATAATCTAAAAAGTAAAAGAAATGAATTGAAATTGGAAGGAGGCAAAAAATAATTGATATAGCAAGTGTTTATTGTGCTTGTGCTTGTGTGAATGTGTTTTGTACATACATTTCCGTTCTTATTTGACGTTAGTTTTGTTGTTGCCATTCTTTGGACTAAAAATTAGGTTTTTTGCGTTCCTTTACTTTTCCTGTTATTCTATTTTAGTGTGCGCATTTTGCTTACGCTCTGGCATTTTGACACTTTTCAGATTTTAGTCCAAAAAGATAAGGAATGAACCTATTATCAACCCTGATCAGATTTTACCCCCGAGGAGTACTCAAAAAGGTTTATTACTAGTTGCGTTCCCCAACTCTTCTGGGCTAAAACCACGATTGAGAGAATACAAATGTTGCGCCGATCTCGGACCGCTATTCCTCTCTTAATGAATTTGACAGAATCGTTGTTTGCATGACGTCACACTTGTGCAACTTGTTTACGTTTCCCTTGCAACATTTTTTCTTCTTCCATTCTTGCTCACATTTTGGCATTTCTCTCTCGCAATTGCACCAGTGTGACGTCACACAAAAGTTATTCTCCAAAATCCTCTCTGATCGGCGCAATCTTGTATTCTATCATACTTGGGCTAAAACCTGTAAAACTGTCAAAAGGCAATAGAAGCCAGAGAGCCGAGTACGGGAACGTTTTCTGGCAAATTCCTGTAAATTCTTGCAACTTCTTGCGAGTTAGGGAACGCAACTACTGTATATACTGTGGCGTTCATTAATGACTTGTAAATTTGTGTCGGGGAATCTCGTGATAAAAATCGAACCACTTATTCGCTTGTATGCTCTCATTGCGAAGTTGTAAACATGTCTGTACATTAGGGTGGTCCAAAAATGCACGTGAAAAAGTAAAGTCTGAATTGTTATGCTCTCACCCCCTAGGATTGTTCTATACCGAAAAAAAGTATACCCTTATTTTTTTTATTTTGAAATCAAAAAATATTTAGAGGTCGCTCAAAGCACTCAAAGTTTTCGATGTATTTTATATAGGGAAAAAACCACTTTCCGTAGAAATGGTATATAATAGTTAAAAATCAATATTTTTCTACCAGAAAACTCTGTTTATCTGCAGGAGATTCCCAATAATTTATTATTTATTAAACCATATTTTCTTCTCAACTATAATTTTTAGGTCCGCCAAAAACCCCGAAAAATGCAATGGGGCGACCAATAAAAAACGGTTAGTATCAAAAATGGTTAAATAAACAATTGGGTAATATTATTGAATGTCTTCTGAAGAAAGCCAGAGTTTTTCCATATAAAAATACATGAAAAACTTTGAGCGCTTTGAGCGACCTATAAATATTTTTTGATTTCAAAATAATAAAAAAATAAGGGTATGCTTTTTTCGATATAGAACAATCCTAGGGGGTGAGAGCATTACAATTCCGACTTTACAAGAGCGTTGCAAAACTTCAAAGAACTACTGCCGTGTGCGGTACGAAAGATTTCTCTACAATACGTGGCGTTGCTCTTACCGTCATTCACTTTTCTCTTGGTAAGTATACTTCGGTCTTCCAGGCTGAGGTATTTGCAATACTCAAGGATATGGACTACATGGTGGAAAATATGTGGAGCGGAAGCAGTTTACGGGACGGCCAAGCTGCACTTAACACACTACTTACTTCCAGACTCTGAGTGCCAGTTCAATCGGGAGTAACTCCTATCGTCTATAACTATAATATTTATCACGAATTTCAATTTTCGTTTTTGCGCATATCGAAATTTCTTTTTAATTTTGTAAAAATTTTTGTGCAATAAATAAATGTTTATTGAGGACTAGGTATGGCAGCACGAAATGTCACAATCTGCTTAATTGTCAGGTAGTTAATATGGCGCCCGAAAAGTGACAATGAAACTACCTTCTTTTTTGTATCTTGATTACATATATCTAAAAATGTATTGCAAAAGCTGTCTAAAAAATAATATACATATATAAGTATATAAGAATATTTTTGATTTGATTATTGAAAAAGTTGTGATCGCGAGAGATCGGGCTATTCTAATACGTACTTCAAGTATTCCAAAAGAAAGTGTACAGATTCGTCCAAGTTATGTTGTAATTCACGATTGAATAGCGCGATAAAATAATAACAGTGCTATGTGGAAAGCTTACACAGGGCAACACTGATTTTGTTGCGGCAAATGTTAAAGCTGTTTTGGATAGACTTTCTTGTACTGATTACGAATCCGTAAGTATAAAGTACATTAAGGCGTATCACGAAAAAAAGATTAGCGTGTGTTAGTTTTATTTGAATACTAATGTCTGTAATTTTGGGTGTAAATTTTTTTTTATTCAACCGCTAATAACCGTTAAATCGCTAAATTTTTGGAAAATGGGCGTATCGACGCCCACTTATGATTACATCTTTGTATCTTAGGGTTGCCAGATTTTTTGCGCAAAATCAGTACCTTAGGCTTTTTCATGCTATAAAAATCAGTTCTTTTCAGTACACTTTTAGTCAAAGCAAAATTGTGAATGTAAGAACAGAAAATACTCTAAAACTAGAGTACTTGTTTTTAACAATATTTTGGTATATAAATAAAATATATTTAATAAAAAATACAAATTTTATTCATTTTGACATGAGTGTACACATTCACATGTATTCTAAAATATCCCTATAATATCACGGTACACTGGAGTTAATAAATTATTTAATACTTTTTTAACCGACTTCAAAAAAAGGAGGAGGTTATCAATTCGCCGGAATATTTTCTTTTATGTGTGTTACCGCAAAACTTTGGATCACGTTAAACGATTTCGATAATTCTTTTTTCGTCGGAAATGTGGATCATTTGATCATCTATACATAGTATAAAGGGAAGTCGAGATTTTTTGTACGCGGTAATCTCGAAAACTACTGAACGGATTTTGACGAGATTTTCTCTAATATACTCTGCATCGACAGGATTTAGAATTTTAATAGGGTTGCCTCCTGTCTAAAACACTATAAGATCCGCACCGTTCGTTGGATTACAAAAGATGAGGTGTCAAATGAAAGGGATTGGCCTCTAGAAATGCAGTAATATTTTTTTTAATAGGGTTGCCACCTGTTAATAAAATTACCATATTCAATCACATTAAGCGTAGGCATCAGTTCTGTACCGTCATTGTCAAACGAAAAGACTTAGCCTCTGGATGTGTAATAATGTATTATTTTTCTGAGTAGGGGTGCCGCCTGTTTGAAAACTATGAGATCTTTATCGTTCGTTGGATACAAAAAATAAGATACCAAATGAAAGTGCATGGCCTTCGCATGTACAAAAACTTTAAGTTTTTTGAGTATGGTTGCCACCTATACATAGTATAAAGGAAAGGCGAGATATTTTAACCATGCTACTGAACGGATTTCACCAAATACGTAAATGTACATAGTACAGAGGCATACATTCAGCGCGTGGCGAAGCCTCGCGCATAGTGGCCGGGTAGTTAAGAAATAAGCGGTACTCTTAAAATTTTTATATGCGAATTGAAGTCGGTTTTGCTTTTTGCTTAAAAATTACTTGTTTGCTTAAAAAGTACTTGTAAATAATAAAAAGTAGATGGAGGACAAAATAGACCACATACCCCCACGCTTCATCTGGGAAAGAAGGTTTAAAGCTACGGTTAAGGAGGGCGGATGGCGCATGA